ATTTTATTAAAATTTTTAAGGATAATTTTCTTTTTTTAACAATCAGCGAAGTTAATGTAATGCAAATTTTAAAAAAAGAGAATAAGTAGCTTTTGGTGTCACAAATCTAAAAAGTTATCCAAGTTGTAGCAAATCGTATAAAAAGTAGTAAATAGTATAGATTTTAGTAGATGAGTGAGAAGCCTGTCAAATTTACGTAAATAATAGTTTTAATAATAATTAAATTAGTCTATTTTGTAAAAATAGTTATAATAATAATCTAAATAATCTACTGTTACCTTTGTTTTAAACATAGAATTTAAGTTAGAATCGTCAATTTTGTATTTGTTTGTTTTTGTTAATATAACCAAAAACTGTGATTTTCTTCTGAAGTGTCTGATTAAATCTTTCAGAAGTCCCATTATGTTGAGGAGTATCTGGGCATGCGGGTTGAATTTCAATACCTTCCCGAGTTAATACCTCTTAAGTATAATCTCCCATGAACTCAGTACCTTGATCCGTTCGGAGGTAGCAAATTTTTAGATTTGTTCCTAATAAATTTCGTGAAGTCGTTATAAAACGATCTAAGCATTGACCAGTAGCGTCTTTCATTTTCATCGGATACGCTAGGGCCATTCTTGAATAGTCATCAATAAATACAACTATGTATTGATAACCAAAAGGGTGTGTTGAAGGTGAAATTTTTCCCATAACATCAGAATGTATAATTTGCAACGGTCGTTCAGCTCTACTTCTCTGGTTCTTGAAGGGTAACTTTGATAGTTTTGTGAGAGCACAAATTTCAAATTCGCGTATTTCATCATCAAAAATTACACTCTGTAAATCTTTGTTATCCCTCAACAAACTTTTAAATTTTAAATGCCAAAGCATCGCTTTACTTGTTTTTACAGATTCTGAAAATGATTTATTTAAAAACAAATCATCATCTAACAAATCTACAGATGGAAGTTCATCCAGGTTCGATATTTTTCTATTTGTTAGGTTTGTGTCGAATTCTGTAAAAACATATTGATCACTCGTATTATTTTCTTTTACGGTCGTTTTACACTCGTTATCTACAAGATCATTAATATATAATTTAACAGTCTCCGAAGTGTTGTCGTTTTCTTTATTCATTTGAATATCAATATTCAAAATTTACTCTCAGGTAAATTATTATCGTCTTTTTCGTTAACTATGGTTTCATTTGATACAGTCGTGCAACCTTCGTTAATCATAGTTTCATTTTGTTCAACTACGCTCGAATAAAAAACAAACACATTGGAAGAATTTGCTTGTTTTTCATTGCCTTTCTTATAAATTTGTTTTTCATGGTCTTTCTCATCAATTCGAAATTTCATAACCCAGTAGGGTTTATCATACACACCAGAAGCATAAACTTCTTTCGTCTTTGGGTCATGAATATTCACACACTCTTTATCCAAATGGGTTGACAACTCGGCTTCCGCAAATTTCCTTAGTGAAAGTAAATTTTTGGAAAGTGAATCTGTGTAGACGGTGTTGTCTAACACAAGCGATTTTTTGTTATCAGCGTTTGAAATTATATTAACTGTGCCTTTTCCCTCAGCAATCAAATCAGCTTCATCATTTTTGTTCGCGCACTTAATAATACTCGTTTTCGTTTTTTCAAAAGCACTGAAAATTTTTTTCGTATTCGTTAAATGTTCAGTGGCTCCTGTATCGATAATGAAAGACACATGTTTTTTATTATTCTTATCACTATTTACATCTTTATCATTCGAGTATTGTAAGAAATATGTCGACAACGACTGTTTTCGATTTTCAATTTTAGGATCTAATTTAATACTATGTGAAAAAGAATTTTCGTACGTACCTTTAATATTTTGATGATTTTTAAGACCTTCGTTCGTTCCTACTCGAGAATTATTTTGTGTCGGCTCGTTTTTGTTTGACTGCCGTGAGTTGTCAACGGGAGTTGGTTTTGAATTGAAATTATATTTGCTTGGATTGTTTCATGTGACCGCTGTCACCGCATTCAAAACATCGTTCATTTTGACATTTAGTTTTGTATAATGCATCCCGTTTTTTCTCTTCAGGAAGAGGAATTGAACCAGGAACAGTCTCATAATTGTGCACGATTTCCTCAAATCGGTCCAGAAAACTATTAGCAGTTTCTCGACTTGCATTATATTGTATCGCATACAATTGCTTTCGGGCTGACACACTCGTAACGTTGACCTCACAACATTTAATTTGTTTGATTTTGCTTAACAATTCGACGGGATCTTTTATTTGAAGAATTCTATTATGACATGTTTTATCTATTCTATTTATTAAAATATCGCAGACTTTGAATTTATGCTTTTCTTTTAATGTATCGTTCAAACCTTCGGGAACATTTACGGTTCTATCTATAACATATAAACAAATCTATTGTGCAAAGCTCGGATGTTAAAAATTCATAGAAGTGATCAAATTTAACCCATGATTCTAACTTATAATCATGTTTTGAGCTCGTATCTTTGCCGATTAATTCGATCTTTATGGCTTGTTTTACCCGATTGGCAATTGTTTGCGGTTCGCTAGTTTCATACTTTGTGAGTGTAAAACAGTTTTGGTCGGAAAGTTTTGAGGAAACATCGTATGATCATTTTTTGGACTAGATTGTTTTTGATCTAAAATTTTGGGAACTGTCGTTAATGGAAGTTTTTGGTCAGAAAGAAGCGCTACCATTGTTAAGACTCCACGCTAGGGTGGTCCAAAAAAAGTAAAATCGGAATTTCAATGCTCTCACCCCTAGGATTGTTGTATATGGAAAAAAATACCCCTATTTTTTTTTTAAATAAAAAAATATTTAGAGGTCGCTCAAAGTATAGTGCTAAATTATTTATTTAATCATTTTTTTAAATTAACTATTTTTTATAGTACCCCAAAAAAACCCCATAAATTTCTAAATTACAAAAAAATCGTTAAAAAATATTTTTTATTATTTTTCCTAGATTATGAATAAATAACACAAATATTGATTTTTAAACATTATTCCATGTAATTGCTAATTTGTTTAAACAAATTATTATTGTTTATTTACAACTTTTTATCTAATTGAGCTAAAGAGTTTCGATTTTTTCTCAATATTGCAACTTTTCAGGCCGAATGTAACCAGTCACTATCAACTAACTAAGAATATTAATTTTACTAATTGTTTAAACAAATTACTATTGTTTAATTTTATTTTTTTATCAAAATAAGCTACAGAGTTGCGACTTTTTTTTAATTGTACATTTTATTTTTTTTGTGAGGTTTTAATTAATGTAAGACTTAATTATCGAGTAAAAATTGTGAACCATTAATTTATTATTATAAAAATGATAAGTACAAAATTTTTTATTTACGTCATTGAAATTACTACTACGATAGCTTCAAATTTAAAATATCAATTTGTTTAAACAATTGGTAAAATTGTAATTCTTAGATTGTTATTAGTAATTAGTTACATTTGGCTTGGAAAAATACAAAATTGAGAAAAAATTGCGACTCTGCAGCTCAATTTGATAAAAAGATAAAATTAAACAATAGTAATTTGTTTAAACAATTGGTAAAATTAATATTCTTAGTTATAGTTGATAGTAACTGGTTACATTCGGCCTGAAAAGTAGCAAAATTGAGAAGAAATCAAAACTCTTTAGCTCAATTAGATAAAAAGTTGTAAATAAACAATAATAATTTGTTTAAACAAATTAGCAATTACATGGAATAATGTTCAAAAATCAATATTTGTGTTATTTATTCATAATCTAGGAAAAAACTTTAATAAAAATAGTAAAAAATATTTTTTAACGATTTTTTTGTAATTTTGAAATTTATGGGGTTTTTTGGGGCATTATAAAAAATAGTTAATTTGAAAAATTATTAAATAAACATTTTAGCACTATTCTTTGAAGTCTTCTGAAGAGAAACTGAGTTTGCTGAATAAAAAATGTTGATTTTCAAGGATTCTATACCAATTCTACGAAAAAGTGTTTTTTCCCATGCATTTTAGATGGGAAATTTTCAGCGATTTGAGCGACCTCTAAATATTTTATTATTTTCAAAAAAAAATAGGGGTATTTTTTTTCTCCATATAGAACAATTCTAGGGGGTGAGAGCATTAAAATTCCGATTTTATTTTTTTCCCATGTATTTTTGGACCACCCTACTACACGTGCATGGCCCAAAAACATACTAATCTTTAAATTATGATATTCCTGTAAAAAGTAATGTCAGAAACTTAACAAATCTACCGTTTGAAAGCTTATAATATTCTATGTTAAATGATATACAATTTGAAATTTTAGAAAAATTACACAAAGAATTTAACAATCGACAAACTCGAAAACAAATTAAAAAATGAATATTTTTTGAAAATTTTTTAAACTTGGACATGTTTTTTAAAAATTGTAGACAAAATTTAAAACTTATATAGGTGTCATCCTTCAAGTCTCATCTTTAATTAAGGACCAAAATAGTTAAAAAATCTTGTTCGGTTCGCGAGATATCATTATAAATGTCAGTGCATGTTTTTGGACAATTGCATTGAATTAGTCATTTTTGTATGGTTTTTGACAATAAGAAGGCTCGCGAATAACATGAAGAGGCTTATGAGGAAGTTTATAACTTACTTTATTGACCTAGGATAGCAAATTAAAATTTAGTAAGCTCTTATAAAAAACATTTAACAATAAATCTGAAAAATTATAGTTAAACTTTAACTGCGTTTTTCTCAAAATACAATTACGTAAGATTTTTTTAAAAAATGAGACCCTAAAAAACCCGTTTAAGGAGTATCAAGCAAATCTAAACAATTTTTAAACTTTTTGTTCACCATATTGGATCCGCCATTTCTAATTTTCAAAAACTGACATTGGATTCAGATTCAGCGACCCTGAAAATCCCCAAATATTGAGTTTCAAGCGGATCTAAACAATTTTTAAACTTTTTGGTCGCCATATTGGTCGCCATTTTTAAATTTTTAAATCTGACATCAAATTCAGATTCTGCGATCCAAAATGCTATAGTACACTCATGAAAGTTGAAATTAAATTTGATTTGGTACATTTTTTTAAGTTGCTTGTATACACAATTCACGATGGATATACTAAAAATTACTTTTTTCAAAAATCCCTCGATGGATTATTTTAATTTTTGTTGCAAAATACTCAGGGACGTCTCCAGTGTTGGAATCCACAAAAAAATCCAATTTCGCAAGACTTTTTTTTAAAGTTGGTTCAAGCCCACCGTGTCTTCTGAACCTCGATGTTTTTGGAACTCGTATAGAAGGTGACACACCTACCAAAGAAAAAGTCGTTTTATTGTTTTTGTCGTCGACGACAACGCTCGAACCTTTTTTTGAACACATCGTTCTCGCTAAAACTAAATCAGCAGTTAACATCGTAAAAATTAAATTTCGTTTACCTTTGTGCTCTTCGACTTTTGAATTAAGTGTGGTAGAATTCACTAAATTATAGTCCAGGAGTTGCTGCGTGTTCTGTGACTCAAATTTCTCACTTTCGAATAAATGATTTTCGGCTTCCTCGATATGCTCAAGATCTTCGTGCATATTGCTACCCTCGTTATTTGATTCATCCATGTCGAAATGGTTTTCGGCGTCGCCGTCGCTTGGATTGTGTGTCTGTTCTAGAACTTGAATCTGTCCTTTTAGAGATTCCCACTCGTCTTTTAGGGAATTTTTACCTTTAAATAAAACATCGTACATTACATCAAAATACACACTCGTTTACTTTGTTTTCATTCAGAATAAAACAGAAACTTTGTAATGATCGTGATTTTTAATTGCCAAAAGAATAGCTCGCCGGAAGGAGTCCGGGTACTTAGTTTAGTTAAATTTAGCAAATTAGTCTTAAAATCTTTATCAAAACAGTATTTAAGTTAAGGACCGTTATATACTATGATTTAGAGTAAGGTGTAGTCATTAATAAGTCATAAATTAAACCTTCGTAAGAAAGTATATTTTAGTAACAAATAAAAGAATAACAAAATATTATAAACAAAATAAATTTAGATTAACAAAATAAATTGTAGAAAATACTAATAATAAAATATCGTTCGCTAATTATCATCCGAGAATAGTGACTCATATTAGTTTACCGTTTCACTATTTAACGTTTCACTTATTACATATTTACCGAGTTTTACATTACATTACGTTACCTAATTTTACTAACGAGTTACGCTTTTCTAGATTTAATTATTCCCGAAGCTAGTCATGAATTTACTTCCCGATTTTCATATTGAACGATTACGTAGATTGTGCACTCTAGTGGGGACGATTTCGCAATATTTCACTAGGGAGAAATCGTGTCAATAAAGAGCCAGTACGCTCGCTGACCCTCTTATCCAATAGGAAAATATACCGAAATAATTAAATCTCTGTTCAAGCTTCATCTTCCCCCAAGATGTACCTTGGGTTGAGGAATCTACCTAGTGCATCAACTCTGTGGAGGTCGAGTTGTACCTCTTTACTACAGGGTTGGTTCACAATGGCGAGAAAGGAGCGAGGAAGGAGCGCCGAAGTATCAAGGGGTGTTACTACTGCTCAGTTGCACCTGAGTCTTGAGTACAGCTCCCTCTAGGAAGTAGAGAAAGCTAGCAGCCTCAGTTGCACCTGAGATACCGCCTGCTCGCTCCAGGTAGAGAGAAAGAATTAGTGCAAGCTAGGAGCCCCAGTTGCACCTGAGATACCGCCTGCTTGCACCAGGTAGAAAGGAAGGAGAGATTTGTCGTCGATCTTCCTCGGAGCTAGCCCCGAGTCAGTTCGACGGCGAACTGAGGAAATTGTCCGTGCGAGCAAAGTATATAGAAGTCTGGTTGCTATCCAGGTAAGTCTCGCGGTGGGGAGCGTGACGTTGCCGCGACGCGCGGTATGTGGGCGGTGGCTACTCTCTTCGCGACTAGCAGGCTGAACATGCTGTAGTATATATAGATATACTGTCTGTACGAAATATAATTTCTTACGTTAGATTTTAAATGCTATCGTTACAACTTGCTCTTAAATTACTTGATTGAACACAAATCAATTGATTAAGAACCATTTATCCGTTACACTTATTACTTTTAAGTGTTGCTGAAGATAAATGTAGTTATTGCAGTCTTCTAAAAATGCACACAATTTTTCAGATCTGAAAAACCCAAACAACGGTTTCGTGTGTCTTATCATACAGAGAGTAATAATATTTAATCTGTTCCTCGTATAACCATTTCTCAAATCATTTATCTATTTTAAATTTTCAACACCAAAGTGAAATTAATTTTCTTTATAGTTTACTAGCTAGATTTTCGTAATTTTTAATTAATACGTATTAAAAAAAATTTATTCTGCAGAAAAGAAAAATGAAAACATTTGCCTGAATTATTAGGTTCCTTGTCTTGTCTATATTCAAGAGTCTTCTGCATCGCTCCACAAGAAGACTCTTTTTTTCCAGCGTCGTCATTTTTGGTGGTGTCGATAAAACAAATAACCTCAAAAAGTCTTTGCACAATCAATAATCTGATTATTGTTTTATCGATAGAAAATAAATAAGAACTTCCAAACTCAAATCACTTGTTTTTATATCGGTTTATCACTTCACAAAAATAACTTTTCAATTTCTTCCTTTGTTTTAACAGAAGCACTTACGTCGCCATTTTTGTGCGAGAAAAAAAGGCACACACTTAACCAAGCAAAACTTTTTCGATTTCCACAAGTCAAAAACAGATTTAGCGCGGTGGATGGGGCCTGGGCCCATAACTTGTTGACTTGGTTTAATGTTTTGACGTGTAGAAATAAAACACTTAGAGTTTTATATATTAAATCGTCTTTTATTAATAATATTAACAGCACACGCTCGTTACTGTCGAAAAGAACAAAGAAGATATGAAACGGAAATCGCTTAGCAAGAGACGCCAACGGGCGACCGGAAGTAGTAAACAAAAAATAAAATATTAGTCAAGCGTGTATTTGAATAGCTCTGGCGCTAACTTTAAGGCAGCAATCTCCTTTAGAAGACAAAAAAAGCGTTTTTTCAGCAATTTTTTTGAAAGGAAAGGAAATGATTGCGGTAAACGAAATTTTTAGGTAATATTCTACTATATATCAGCGTAAAAAAACAATTTTTATTATTAAAAATTGGACAAGAGCGAGTTGCACTCGCAATGCAATGGCGGGTTCCGTACACAAATATTAAAACAATACTTGCAACATTTATCGGTTATTGGCAGAATTAAAATAAACAATTAAAAAAATTTATTAAAATCATTTGATAAAAAAAAATAACTACAAAAAATTAAAGTGTTGTGAATCTAATATTGTAAAAAACAATAAGTAAAGGAACAAAATTTTCAAAATTAGTTCCTCTACTTATTATTGTTTACAATATTAGATATACAACACTTTTTTTAGTTATCTTTTTTTATCAAATGATTTTAATAAATTTTTTCAATTGTTTATTTTAATTCTACCAATTACCGATAAATGTTGCAAGTATTGTTTTAATATTTGTGTACGGAACCCGCCATTGCAGTGCGAGTACAACTCGCACTTGTCCAATTTTTTTTTTATTTTCAGTTAAGAAATTAAAGGGAGAAAACAATCTCTCATTTATTTTCTTAAAATTTTCACTCTTCTTTAAAATATTTAATGCCACGTGTTTTAACTAAAAAAATTTTTTTTTTTAAATTAAAAAAAAATTTTTAAATTTTTTTTTAAAGTTTCTTAAATAAATTTCTTGTTGTCAGGCTATAATAATACACTAGTATACCAATTTTCAGTCCATTAGGTCAAATAATGTAAAAGTTAGAAAAAAAAATTTGTTTTCAAAAATTTTTGTTTTTCCTTGACAACGGTATGGCCATCATTACATATCAAGTTCTCTATACTTTTCCTGTAATATTCGAGTAAAAAACACCAGCATGAAAAATTTCAGCTCTCCATGTCGAATAGTTTAGAAGTTAAGGAGGGGGGAATGGTCACTTTTTATGCATTTTTGGCCAAAAATCTTGTTATTTCCTTGACAACGATATGACCATCACGTCCAATCACATTCCCTATATTTTTCCTGTAATCTATGAGTGAAAATACATATCTGGACCAAATTGGCCTCTAAAATTTTAAAGACATATTCTTCGATAGTTTTGGAATAGATTTAAGGTAGGGGTCATCTTTAGATCCGGCGAGCGACGACCATTGTAACGAATCAATAATCCATTAATTATAATTAAATAAAAAAAAGGAGAGAATCCCTATTATAAGAAATATGCAAACAAATCAACTGAATCATTTTCTGGAATGAGCTCGTATGTCAATTGTTACACCAACCAAAATACTCTGTAATGACATTCCTCCTTAAAACCAGAATAAGTTCAATAACTTATTGCTGTAAGGTTGTTAACCCTAAGGACACAAATATACAAAGATTAATAATGATTGCCAAATAATGAAGCAACAATTATTGCAAATAATTTCGTTTGTCTTTGGCAATCATGGATTAATATACTATAGACTTGCTTAATTCAAAAGAAAGCAAAGTCAGCAAAAGCAATCCAAAGGGGTACTCCTTCGAAATATAGAAATAATAAATTATTTCAACACGGGACAACGATCCCTGAGGAATGTCAGAGTTGCAGATTTTCCCTCCAACAGAAATATAGTTTCTGGTATAAAAATTGACATCACAGTTCGTTCAGGGCAGTATTAATCGGTCATTCATAATAAGAAGACGCGTTCTTAACTGTCCCTTAATTAGTTTCCTACACTAATTAAGGCAAGTTTTAACAACTCGGTTAATTGATAGTTGTGAAAAAGAATCAACACAAACGTAGAATTAACGCGAGTAAAATCACGGGCGTAAGAATTGTGTTTAAAATAATCTACATCTCAAGGGATCAAGCGAAGAATTATTGAAAATTACAATCGAGGTGATCAACACTAAACAATTAAACAAGGCCCATCTCTACGAAGTGGAGGTGGTAGGATAAGTTTAGCGGTAAGCGAAAATATAATTATTGTAATGTTTACGCTTAAATTTTGAAAAGAAAAGGGAAAATAAATTTAAAACTTATAAGGGTAATAAATGCTTATTAATTAAAACAACCCATCCCGCAACCATTTTTAGTTAATCTTTTCTAAATTCTAAATTTTTAGTAAATTAAACGGGGAAAAACGAATCTCGCATTTTAAACAATCAAGGATAAACCCTTGATTGGTTGTTGCAATTCGAAGAGGAAAACGTTAAAGAAACATAAAATTAAAGTAATTATTATTATTTTAAACAATTTTTTTTAAACAAATGTGCAACAAATGGTGGCAGCGGTGGGATTTATTTTCCCTTTTACTTACCACTTATTTTTATCTTAATAAATTGCTTAACAAAATTTTGAAACAATTTTAAATTAAATTATTTTGAAATCAACTATAAATATAAGTCTTCTTTGGGTTCGTTGAACAGCCACTTTTTATTAAAAAAAAGGTGAAGCAAAAATTAGTTGATTTTAATAAATAATTAATTGTTTTGATCTCTTATTTTGAATTGAATCATTTTTATAACCAACTATAATTATAAGTCTTCTTTGGGTTCGTTGAACGGCCACTTTTTATTAAAAAGGCGAAGCAAAAATTAGTTGCTTATTCTTAAGAATATCAATTCCTTAAAAGAGATTACTGTGTATTAAAATTATAACATATATTGTACATATATTTATATATAATAATCCTTTCGATGTGTCTGCAAAAACCTATCGC